TTTTGACCGATTTGTCTACTTTTTTCTTTCTAGTTTTGTAATAAGGCAACTTAAGTTGAAACTTAGCATGCACGGACGAACGAACTTGAAGCTTTTCATGATGTTTTTGCTAGCATCTAAGTTTTTCTTGGGAATTCTCCATCCTTTGTTTGTAGGAATAGTTATCACCTTAAAAGGTACATTCCATCTTTTCATGTCTTTTTTTTCTTACATTTTTTTATCTATAATATGCTTATACCATTGGCAGTGTTTAAACACATGTGAGCAACAAATGTGGGCACTCTTAATGGTGAAGTCGGGTTGAAGTGTGTGAAAGCTTCTTGAATTGGTGAATTATCATTCATGCCAGCCCACAAAGCATCTGGTTTGACTGGGGATATCTAATTAGTTGAGATTTTTATGGATGGGTAGTAAAAAAATATTGTGGAACATGACCAACTCATCCGTATTGTTTGACTGTAAGCCAATCATATTCCAACTTTTACTTAGGAGTACAAAAATTAAAAGAATGAATTGCCTCCATGTTTGCTATAGAGTACAAAAATTGTCCAAAATATGGGTACTCTCTTTCTCCTAACAGCAATATTTACTGCTATGTTGAAAGGAATATTTTATGATTTTAATTATCTGTGCGATGACTTATATTTTAATTCTTAATACAAATTTGTAAATTCGTTTATGTATCCATATATTTATAATATCTAAAAATTACATCATGGTAACACATGAGTGATGTATTACACTTCGTAGTGTGTGGTTATTAAATACTCCCTCCGGTTCCAAAAGAGTTTGACACTTTGACTTCTCTAGAATTAAGGTGGGGAAAACTTTTGAGTTGACTTTCCATCTGTACCCTTTGTTGCAAAAGTAATTGTAAAGGTAAAAAGGTAGAGGGTAAAAGCAATAAATAAAAGGTTGGCTTTGACATTACATATTGCTGACAACATACAATAGGAGAGAGGGTAATTCGTACCCCCTCTATTACCAACTGTCCACATTCGTACACTTTTTTAAGGAGAGAGGCTTTGATTTTTTTCAGCTTCCCTCCAAAAACTAAAAATAGAAAGCTTCCCCCCCAAAATTACATCTACCCTATATAAACCCCTCATTCATCCAGATTTTGTCTCTGAGCTTTCTGAAATGCCTCCCCATTCTCCCTCCGCTGCAACCTCTTTAGGTGACATGCCTTCCTTTGAGCTTAACACCGAACCTAAGGAAGAGCAGATGGAGCTGTCAGTTCCCCACGTACCTACAGATCAAGAGCAACCAGGTAGTCACACGGATAACACACAGAGCCAGCCAAAAAATCTGGCAAGCCTTACATGTGAAAAGCGAAGAAGAATAATAGACCTATTGTTATTAAAGGCCGCAGATGGAAAACTTCAGAGGGGCATGATCACAAATGTAGCAAATGAGTTCAGCATTTCAAGACAAACTGTAAGCACATTGTGGGCCAAAGCAAAGGCACAAATGCAGGCTGGGCTACCCATAAATGTGCAGAGTCAGTATAAAGGTATTGCAGGAAGAAAAAAAAATTGCATTTGACTTGTCAAAAATGTCTGAGATTTCATATCATAAAAGGAAAAATATGAGGTCTTTAGCATTTTCAATGCAAGTGTCAAAGTCCACTGTGCAGAGATGGTTCAAGAGCAAACAAAATAAAAGACATTCTAATGCCATTAAACCTCTTCTCACAGATAAGGGCATGCTGAAAAGGTTACAGTTCTATCTAAGCCATATTATTCCTAGCTCACTTCCCCTTTCCCCAACTTTTCATGATTTTTATGATCATGTACACATAGATGAGAAGTGGTTCGACTTATCAAAAGAAACCACAACATTTTATACATTCCCAACAGAAGAGGACCCCTACAGAACAACTCAATCAAAAAAATTCATACCAAAAGTGATGTTTATAGCTGCAGTAGCAAGGCCTAGAATAGGAAACCAGGGGGATGTATTATGGGATGGTAAGATAGGGATCTTTCCTTTTATCTATGAAGACAAAGCAAAGAGAACAAGCAAGAATAGGCCAGCTGGGACCTTAGAGACAAAGCCAACATTGAGTGTCAATAGGCCAGTTACAAAAGAGATGACGTTAACAAAATTTCTGTCAGCAATTAAAGAGAAGTGGCCAGATGCAGAAAACAAACATGTCATTATACAACAAGACAATGCTAGGCCTCATTTAGACATAAATGACCAAGATTTTGTTACAAGTGGGACAGAAGATGGTTGGAACATTGAGTTGCGTTGGAAACCACCTAATAGCCCAGATTTGGATGTGTTGGATTTAGGTTTTTAGGGCTATTGATTCTCTGAAAGATCAGAAAGCACCTAAGACTATCAATGCATGATAGAATCAGTACAAAGTGCATTCGATGATCTCACAGCTCATACCTTAGACAAGGTATTCTTAAGCTTCCAATATGTAATGGAGGAAATTCTAAAGCACAATGGAGGTAACAACTTCAAACTAAAACATGTTGGGAAGGACGGATTGGAAAGGCAAGGTAATTTACCCAAGAATGTCCAGATTGATCAGGAAGTGTATAACACAGCTAAAGCACACATGGAGTGGTAGATGACAACAAATATAGCAGTTACAAGCAGTGAAGTGACAGGGGCGGAGTTCATAGATGAAGATTATCAAGATCTTCATTTTGAACTGTCTATCTACAAAGAACAATACAACTTTTTTGCTAGTATTTGTATGTACGCAGGGATTAATATGCAACTAGGTGTACAATTTTTTGTATGTACTTCAAACTGTTGAAAGTACCTTTTTGATGTACTTCCTAGATCAGTGTTGTACACTGATTATTGTAAGCAAGTCAATGCCAAACATGATTTGCACTCTAGGCCTCCTACACATTCATAAATGGGCTGCACAAGTATGTAATCACATTTGAGGCACACACTGATGCAATGCACACAAGCAATTTAGGCATACAGAATATCACATAAGCAATAGGCAACACACTGTTTCAAACAACATACATTGAGTCATCATTTTTCACAAAAACATTTTGATAATCAGTACCCCCAATTCATCCTTAGTTTTCACACCATACACACCTCAGGCAACAAACATGCAAGTACTCATCACTTATTTAAAAAAAACAAGGATAGTAAAGAGACAGAGAGTACCGCTCGTAGAAACAGCCCTTTGTATAAGGAGGAATGTCTGCAAATAATTCGTCAGCTGAATCACCAACCCCATATGCCTCCTCACCAGCAAAATATTTCAAGGTAACCTCTTCCCCTTCTTCTTCCAAGCCATCTAGCCATTCGAACGTGTCACTCACTAGGTTGTCGCCGTATTTTTTCCTCAACCGCCATCCCGGATCTGCTTCAGTGGAACAATCACCGAATCGAACGATGACTGGGTTCACCCAAACCTGCAAAACACATTGCATGTGGAAGATTAGGCATATTTTTAGGAGTAGGAGTAAATTTAAGCTAATTCGTGGAATGAAGAGGAGACTTGCCTTATTTTCCAGATCCAAAATTCGAAGGGACTTCACACTTTTCAGATCTGAATGAAGTGGTTCAGATCGAGGGAGGTCGGAGTACTCAATCGGCGACTTGACCTCCACTTTATCTCCTAGTTCAACACCGCCGGTGTGCGTAGAGGTGGTTTTATCAACCATTAAACCGGAGACAAACACAGAAGGGGGCAACTATGTAAGGAGAAGGGGTGTGAAGAAGAAGACGAAGATGAGTGAGATATGGGGTGGGAGGATATGCGAAGAAGGAAGGTCAGAGGACGGATAGAATATGCAAGTGGGGCGGTTGGGGTTTAATGCGGTAGATTATTGGGGATAGTAATAGGTTGGGTGGGTAGTATTATTGGGGAGGGATATTTATGGCATTTCAATAAAAAATATGGGCAGATTAAGAAGTGTAAAGATAATTTTGGGACTGCCAAATATGGAGTATCTAATACTTCCACCGTTCTTAAATAAATGCAATGGTCAACATTTCACACTTGCCGAGACACAACTTTGACCATTAATATAAATGATTTTGTATTAGTAAAAAATTAAAAAAATTAGATTATGAAAATTTACAATGAGACAAGTTTAACAATATTTTTTTCATAAAATAATATTATTACATTAATAAATAAAACGTAGTCAAAGTAGAACACGTGAATAATGTAAAAGTCAAAGTGTTGCATTTATTTAAGAACATAGGTAGTATTTGATAGTATTTATTTACAATTTCTCTCATTCATGTGTTAAAACTATGATTTAAGACTTGGAACTATGTTTATACTTTGTATATTCCAAATTAACATTTGCCATATCTAAATTTCTCATGTCGTGCAACGTACGGGTGGAATACTAGTATTCTTAACTTTAAATTATAAAATTGTTGAATGTGAAGGTTTATTTTAATTTTAGTGGGTTAATCTGTGTAATTCTCTTAATTCAAAGACATTACCATGCTTGGGAAGACATAAATATAAGCACCTCCTTCGTCCTGCAAAATATTGAATCAAAGTTTAAGAAAGTGGAATAAAATGAAAATGTGTAATTGTAGTTGATTGAGAAAAATGTAAATAAATGACAATCACATAAATCTTTTCGAAAAAGAAAATGAAAATTTATTTTATTTTGGAAAATCCAAAAGTGGAATAAAATGAAAATGTGTAATAGTAGTTGAGTGAGAAGAATTTTGACGAAGCAAAAAAAAAAGTACTCCCTCCGTTCTCAAATACTTGGCCCTCTTTCCATTTTGTGATGTTCTCTATTAGTTGTCTCCCTTTCCACTTTTGGTAAGTTTTTTCAATAAATATATTCATTTACCCTATTCTCTTTCCTACCTTTTCATTCTCTTTCCTACTTTTACCTTTACACACAATCCACTACACCTTTTATCCTACCCCTATTAATTCCTTCTTAAATCTTGTGCTAAAGGCTATAATCTAATCTATTTGAGAAGGGATGGAGTATTTGGTATCACGATTAGTTGACTGCAATTATATGATTGCAATTATATTTGGTATACAAATTACAAATGTCTGTGAAGGTCAAACATACCAGTTAGGAATTGGGACTCGTAACGTTAAACCCAAACCGACTCACGAATTCGTTATGAAATGTTTTGCCGGACTATGTACTCCCTATATACGACGAGTATATAGCATAGCAGCCGACTCTAGATCCTCAATTTCGCCCAAATCGGAGCAAGATCTGAACCTTTTAGGTCTTAAGTCGTTGCACCTGAGTGGACTCGGCCCCGTTTGTTGAACGGCCATTCTCAGTGCCGGATTTAAGGTAGAAACTGCTGCCGAACCTGATTTTCTAGTGAATTGTTCTCACCGTGAAGCCAACGATTTTCTCTCTTTTATTTTGTTTCGGGGTTAAATGTGTAGATCTAATGGCGGACGGTGAAAACCAGTCGAGGTATGTGAAGTTGACGAAAGACCAGGTCCAGGTCGAGGATATCAGGCCCGGTGAGCTCAATCTGCCAATAGATGTCCCTCAGGTCTGCCACTATCAATCTCCCGCTGTATTGACTTGTTTAAATGTTTGAAATGGTGCAAATGTGCTTCATATGGCTGTCTGGTAGATTGATCTTTTGCTTTCTGATTGCTTTCAGCCCTCGTGCAACCTGCACATTTTTATCCCTAGGTTCAGTTTGTGTAGGACGGATTGAAGAGGAAGGAATGACTTGTTCTATATAAATTCGAGATGTCTGTTGTCTTGAGTGGTTTTGTGATTTTAGCTTCTGTATTTTCATGTAAACTGTTGGGTAGGAATCCATGGTGTTTGTCTGTAGTGATAATTATTAAGAGTTTAGTTTAAAATACTAACATACAATGTCTTTACTGATAATGATTTTTTCATACGCTTACAAATCCTTATTCATCACCTGTGATTGATTTCACAGTTATCAGTTCGTAAGTGCAATGAATGTGGGCAGCCTTTGCCTGAAAGTTTTGAGCCTCCTGCAGACGAACCTTGGACAACTGGGATCTTTGGATGTACTGAAGATATGGATAGCTGTAAGCTCTCTTCTGCAGAATAGATTTTAAAGAACTGTTATGGATTGTAATAGTACAAGCATAAATAATGTCAATAGTTATACTGCTGTCTAATTTCATAGGTTATATTGATCAGAGATGCCCGTTTTTTAGTGTTTGAAGTTCTGAGCTGTTAGTTTTCACAATAAAAGAAACTTGAACAATGTTGTCTCAATTGATTTTGAAAGCTAAAGCGTTAAAATCTTAGATTATATACTACTAGTAAAGTAGTGCTCCCTTTGCACACAAATCAAGAGTTAAGTAACTTGGCACTTTTAACATATACGCTGTTAGGTTTCTGAATTCCAAAGAAAGCCTTGAATTCTTTAAGTTACATACCACTACTACATTAACACTCCCTTTCCACAAGAAGCAAGAAATTATTGTTTTGTTTCATATATGTATTTCCACGTTTCCACCTTCTTACCTCTTTAAAATTAACAACTTCCTATAGAGGAGTAATGTTTAATTTTATATTGGCTTAATTCTCTCCTTCCCTACCAATTTCCACATTCCAAACATAGCCTTAGATTCACTGCAAATGAAAGTTTGGCATAGACTAATATGCCAATGCCTACACTGGAAAGTACTATAGTCTCCAGTGCATGTATTGTACTACCATGTGTTCGAGGAGGAAGGAGTTTTTCTGCTTCAACAAACCACGGCCTCTGTAGAATGTTCTTTTAATGATCAATATTACTGTTGTACAGGTTGGACAGGACTTTTTTGCCCGTGTGTACTGTTCGGACGTAACCTAGAGAATTTGAGAGATGATACTCCTTGGAGCAGAGCATGTCTTTGCCATGCCGTTTTTGTGGAGGGAGGAATTGCTCTTGCTGTAGCAACGGCAGCGTTAAATGGCATTGTGTTTGATCCTAGGACGGCATTCCTTATTTGTGAAGGTCTGTTCTTTAGCTGGTGGATGTGTGGGATATACACTGGTCTTATTCGGCAATCACTGCAGAAGAAGTATCATCTGAAGGTGCTATTTCTTTTTTCCTTTTAATTTCTATTGTGGTCCTCTTTTTGTAGACCAATCTATATATGCATTTCCTCCTGCATGTTACTTTCTGTTTGATATAAATTTGTGGAGTCATGTTAACTCATGCCAAGGGGATACTCTAGACTTCTATGTGAGGTTGGCAGTTGGCTTCACACTTATACATTTGTAGAATTGACATGGGATACTTAAAAACCTCCCTCATTGGCTCAGCCAGTTTAAACCAAACCATGCTGGACAACTGAAGGGGTGACAAATGGATGTAAAGCGAACCCAAACGGACTGCCCTTAACCATTGAGTGGCCGAGTGGGTGTGGTGCTCACAAATCACCACCAGACCCTGATCCCATGTTAAATTAGGCCAAACTCACTTTTAAAGATCCTCAAAATGTGAGGTTAACCATGATATGTGCAGTATAACACTATAACTTATGCGGACATACTTTACCAAATTCTATCACTCCATGCGATTTAACTTTTCGGTTGGAGCCTTAGCAGAATAATATGGAGTAGCAGTTAGCAATCCAAAGTACACCACTATCTCTTGGGCTTGGAGCATTTTTTCAGTTATAAAGCTCAATAATAATGATAATGATGATACAAATAACAAATGTAGGGTACCCTTCTGGAATAAAATATGTTTTTAATCTTGCACAGGCCACAGAGTATTGGTCTAGAATACGACCCCAATGTATGATGAATGACCTCTCAATTACCTAAACACAGAATATAACAGGAGTTCCGATATGAGTTAATGCGATTGCATTGTTGTGAATGTTCAATAATGCCCATGGGCCTCTTGGGCCAATTGCAGAATGATCAATGATGCGATGTGATGCTGGGAGGTGTCAATCCCATAAATCTATAATAAATCCCTGAACTTTCTAATAGGATATGCAAAAAACTTGTACTGTTATAAAAAGTCTCTACTACTATGTTTGAAACTCAGAAAATGGCAGGGAAAGGGAATTATTGTGTATGGATTTCCCTATTTTCTTTAGTTGAAAGTTTTAAAAATGTACTCGCATGTAGATTTCTCTATCTTTTAAAATTGTTGCAAGGAGTGTGAAGCAATTACTTTTTGTTTACTTTTATTTTCTTCCTCTGATGTTTTGGGAGTTCCATACCCACACGTTTGCAAAGCCAAATCAGGTCAGTTTAGACTTTAATTCACGTTATTAATCTAATGTGTGTGCAGAATTCTCCGTGTGACCCCTGCATGGTGCATTGTTGCCTGCACTGGTGCGCGTTGTGCCAGGAGCATAGAGAGATGAAGGGGCATTTATCCGATGACAGTGCCATCATGCCCATGACCATAGTCAACCCTCCACCTGTCCAACAAATGACTGCTTCTGATGATCATCATAATAGCCATCAATCTTCTGCTGCCGGCCACAGTACACATCTTGAGATGCAACCTTTGTGAAACCCTTGTTATGTTACTCTCAGGAGATTGCTTTTGAAAGGTTCTGAAATTATATTCACTGGGAAAGACCGAATATAGATACATATTATGATGAGAAAATATTCAGCAGAATATAGGCGCATAGCACTTGTGACTTGTCAGTTGTTACAATGTTAAGCCCCACAACAGTGCATCATATACGGCAAGAAAAAAAAAAGTACTCGTTATTTAGTGTTCATTGTGTTTTTGCTTAGCCATGGGAGATGGTGTTCAAATTGCTGAGGATTGAAGTGACTAAATTTGTGAAATACTCGTAATAAATTCAACAATCCAAAGAAAGCGATTTTGACCCCATTGGGATGCTATTGAAATATCCTAAGCAAGAGTTTGAAGAGACAAAAATATGACCAATTTTGACGTGGACAAAAAATTGACTCGTTTAAAACTAAAAATCCTATTTCGCCTGACACTCTTTGTCCTTTGCGCTACCATCTCCTTTGAGAATGAGCTGCGATGAAGATGGAGTCCTTGTGAGAAGATGGTGATCGGCATCCTTTTTATGCATGAAGATGAAGAGAGATAGGGCTATAACTCCTCCTTCCTTCTCTCTGTTTCTCGAGCTTTGATTTGAGATGCGCAAGACTTGTGCAACTATGGCTAATGAGATCGATGACGACCGATGGCGAACAAGAAGACTGTTCACTGGCCTTGGATCGTGCCCAAGGTTGCTGTCACAGCTCTGTTCCGCAAGAGATGTGGGCAAATCTGAGATTTTGCTTGAGCTCTGGGGTGGGCCAGGGTGTAGCTGGGGGAGGTGTGGGCGGGGGTGGTGTAGGGGTGGCTGTACTGGTGGGAGGGGGTTGGGTGAGGTAGGGGCTTGGGTGTGGTGGTTGCCAGCGGTGGTTGCAGGCAATGGCGGTGGCGGTGGGCGGCACCATGGCGTGTCAGGTGATGACAGCGCTGGGCGACGTTGGGCGACGTTGGGGCGGGTCAGGCGGTGGCGGGGCTGGTTGGCGCTGAGGTAGGTAGGCTGTGGATGGGGATGGGGCTGGGTAGGTGTGGGGGAGCAGGGGAGGGGGCTAGGGTAGGGCGCTTGAGCAGGGGAGGATGCTATGGTTGGGGGTGTGGGTATGGCTAGAGGGCTAAGGTTGGTCAGGGGGCGGGTCGGAATCTGGGCAGGGGTGTGGGGATGGGGAGGGGTAGTGGCAGTAGGCGGTTTGGACGCTGAATGAAGCGGTTGGCGCCTAGGCGGCTGTGATTGGTGGTGTCAGCGGCGTCGGGTGTCACTAAATGGTGGCGGCATCACTGTGACTGACGGGCACTTTGTCACGGTGCGTCAAAATAAATTCAATACTAAAACTTATACGTAGTATATGTGAAGTAGAGTTTGTATCCACAGGAAAAGGAATAATTCTCTTTTTATTAAACTAGTAAATAAAAAGAAGGTTTTTGGGATTGAATGTTTAAAAACTAAGATGAACAACCTATATGTGTTTTAATTCAAAGATAAAAATGACTTGGCATTGCTACTTTCCACTTGTTGATATACTTTAGTCGATCATTGTTATATCGGGATAAAGACAAAAAATGACACTAAGGTTTTTAGTGAATCTCGAATTAGACACTAACGTTTTAAGTAGACCAAATAAACACAAAATTATAGTTTTTGGGTCCATTTTGACCACCCTTTAACTCCTTCCCCGTTAACACCCCTTCCCCGTTAACTCCCCCATCCAATTAAAGCTACCTTGGAGCAGACAACAATGGCAAGGATCGGGATTAAGGAGAGAAAGCAACAATGGAGGTCGATCGTCCTGCCTCGTCGCCGCTCCGCCTCGTCGCCGCGCCGCCTTGCCGTTGAAGCCGGCGCTCCGCCTTGCCGTCAAAGCCGCCGCTCTGCCTTACCGTCGTTTCATCTCTACGTCTATGGCAAAGATCTAGATCTGGTCGTGCTCCGTTTGATCTATAGGATCTCGCCGGCAACTTGACAGGTGACAAGGGCTACGAGGCTGAGAGGGGGGTTGCGAGGAGGCTGGTGCTCAGGTGGGGGCTGGTTTGGGAGGCTGGGGATGGGTGGTCGGAGTTCGAGCTAGGGAGTGCGGATCGGGGGTTGGCTGCTCGGATCTGGAGCTGGTAAGCTGGCAAGGGCAGGACAGGGGTTGGATGGACAAGGTCGATTGGGGTGGGCAAGGGGGTAAGGCAGAGCGGCGGGGAACGACGGGGGTTGGGGTGGGCAAGGGCTTTTGGGTAACGAAGGGGAAGGGCTTTTGGGTAACGACGGGGAAGGGTAACGGAGGCGTTAAAGGGTGGTATAAATGGATTCCAAAACTATAATTTTGTGTTTATTTGGTCTACTTAAAACGTTAGTGTCTAATCCGAGATTCGCTCAAAAGCTTAGTGTCATTTTCGGTCTTTATCCCTTGTTATATCTATAACTTATTCCCTCTCGAATACTCAATCGAGAAGTATATCCAATTCATCGAGGTTAGTTATTAACAACGATCGTTCATTAATAACTCTTACTATTAGTCAAGTATAGAGCACTGTCATATACCGACTTGATAGTTGTATTTAATCTCTTAACTCCTTGATGAAATCAATTGAGATTGATGACCTCAACACAAGGATTTCAGTTTAACCAACAAAATCAACCACGACCGTGCATTAATAAACCGAAGTTACTTACTTGTGAAACCATCAACTATTAACCATCGGTTCGTCGATCGTTTCTAGTAATAATTAATATATGAAACAAAACTAGTTGATCCTTTAAATAATGTTCAAAATATTAATATGAAATATGAATAGGAACTAAAATAATATTCAAGGAAGAATGTTATTAAAGCAGATGAATCATACTATAATTATTATCAAGATGTTAACTAATTGTCATCTTAGCAACACTCTCCAACATTAATATAGAGGAAGAATATACTACTCTAACTAATGTCAAGATGTTAACTAATTGTCATCTTAGCAACACTGCCCAACATTAATATAGAGATAATATTAAGGAAAGAATTAATAATTAATATTCAAGGGAAGAGGTTAAGAAAATAACTCACAACTTTAATAATCAACAAGCTTCAAGAGCAACACCAAGAATTGGAAGTTTAGCTCCTCATTTGGAGACTAAACATAGCTAGAAAAATATAAAGAAATGATATTCTAAACCGAGCTTAAGAGTATGGAAGAAGGAATGATGAAAACTAAAGGAAAATGGGGTTATTTATAGGTGTTTTCAACACCTAATGCTGGATATCCGGCCGGGTATTTGCCATACCCGATCGGGTATTTGTCAAATCAAATCTTTTTCCCATGTTCTTGTGTTCTTCTGCACGTTCGTTTGCTTGAAATCACTTCATACCCGACCGGGTTTTGCACAAAACTCAGGTTTTCTCATCCTTCTTGCTTCCAAACCTATCCTAAACTTATAGCCCAACTAATTACAACTAACAATAAATAATAAAATGCTAAAAATACCATTATAATCAAATGCAAACTAACAACTACAAACTTGCATAACAATAGCAAATAAACATTACAAACGATAATAAAAATGTACACTTAGGCACTAACAACTAGTGCCTATCAGTGGCGGCATCACTGTGGCAGTGTCACTTTGACGGTGTCACGGTGGCGGTGGTATTTGGCAGTGTAATTGGCGTGAAAAAATTGACGGTGACCACTCTCAGTGACATGAAAAACGAACACAGTGACATAATTTTTTTGCAGTGACATCATGTTTTCAATTCCAAATATATAACATTGTTAATCACTTTTTTGTCAATATTTAAAAGTGCTAACCTTTTTGGAAATTCAGTTTAAGGGGAAAACCCCAAATTATCAATAGTTTATTTATTTTATGTTTTCACAAAAATATTCTCAAAAGTGAAGGAGTATTTGTGTTTTCCTACTTTAAAAAGTGATTTTAAAGAAAATGTTTAGTATAGTAAAAATTGTTGGTGCTTGATAAAAAAAATAAATTTGAAAATCTAAAAAGCTTTCTAGAGTACACTTTCCAAACTTGATAGTCTTCCCAGACCTGGCCCATCTTTCTCCCTATGATTTCACTATCTTATTTTGATGCTAATTGTCATCAAAGTTTACTCGTTGTAATTAACCAGCTTCTCTTCAGTCGTAGCCGTGTTTGTTGCCACTTGCCAATACTCGCACTGTTACATATTGCATCACTTCAATTGCAATTGGAGTTGTCGTCAATGCCAGGGATGTCTTCGTCTTTCATCGGAGCATAAGATATATTTGATACAATTGGAAAATCAAAGGAGAGGCTACATGACTAGAGAAGAAAAAGGATGTTGTGGCTGTCTTGGACGAATAAGCATACACATATGTATGAGACCATTACATGACCTGGCTCTCATGCAAGCTCATGCAAACGTGGAATTGGAAGATTCATGATCTATCTAGATGCTTCTATAGTTAGTTAATCGTTAGAAGTTAGTTAGAAGATATTTTATTCATTCAACTTGTATATATACTAATTACAATACATTCGTAATAGTAATGCATCATAACTTTTCTACATTTCTTCTTCTTTCTTACGTACAACATTACGCAATTCAAATTCATGTTTCATATCTATGAATTCTAGATGGTATCAGAGCAAGCTTCATCATTGATCTTAATCGCATAACTCTGAATCTACCAATCAACTTGCCAAGACCTGCAGTTGAAGACATTTCGAATCCTTACTATATTGGATCTGGAGATAATCCAAATGTGATTCTTGTCAGTCCGCAGCTGAATGGAAATAACTTCCATTCATGGAGCAAATATATGAAAATAGCTCTTGGAGCTAAGAACAAAATGAAAATGGTGAATGGAACCCCGGCAAAACCAAATGAAACTGATGAAAGCTTTGAGGCCTAGGAAAGAAATGATTTGATGACACAGTCCTAGATCTTAAACTCGTGTACGAAAGAAATTGCTCAATGCATTCTGTACGAAGAATGCTCAGATGTGGAAGACATTGAACGAACGTTTTTCTCAAGGTAACCTTCCTAGGATCTTTGACTTGCAGAAGCAGATTTATACTACTGTTCAAGGAAATCTAAGTATAACTGATTACTACAATAAACTTGATTCTTTGAGCTAAATCAATATAATCATGTGATATGTTGTACTTGTGGTGTTGTTAAAGCCTGCAAGTGTGAATTTTTAAAGGCAGTTCTGGAAAGAGAAGAAAGAAGCATGTCAATGAAATTCCTTATGGGATTGAATAGGAGGCCAAATTCTAGTCATCAAACCATTTCCTAAGATGCATAAGTACAACTTATCACAAGA